GAAATCCGTATCAGTTTTGATAACTTCAGAAGTTCATTTTGTGAACAGAAACACATGATGTCGAGCAAAACATGACAATGCCATTAGTGACACACCAAGTAAAATCTCATTTTTATCACTGAATTTTATTATGGGTGTGGCAAATGTTATTTGGTAACTCTTGGTCAATCGCCAAAATAATCGCGACCGATTCAGTAACGAATCTGTGATTAAACACAAGAACGGATTTTTATCATAACTGCATCTAGTTTATGAGAACCATTAAGAAATGCTGGAATGTTTGGAGAAATACCATCACTCAGAAAGAAAAGGTAAAAATGTTGTCTTTTGTAAGTTCTAAGAGGAAAATGAAGAAAGAAGTGAAAAGTGGGATTAAGATTTCACATGTCTTGATAAACATCCTTCCTTGAGACAACTTTTTTATAAAACAAAATTTTCAAGGCTATTTTCATGTTTTACCACCACCAGCAGCAGCAGCAGCAGCAGCAGCAGTTACCTCTATCCTTCCCGAAAATATTTCTTTAATTTCAAGTGATTTGATATTACCAGAATAGAATTATTAAGATGAATTTCAGAAGCACATAAAATATCATAATACGATAATTAAGCACAAGAAGGTGTGGGTTTTTTATGGAACATATATTGAAATGACCTAGAGAGTGTGTCCATGTGAATATTATTTTCTGGTCATGGAGTTGGGTGAACATCACCACATCATCTTATTATCGAGATTATCAATACATGTAGTATATAATGTTTATCTGTGGAGATTGATTTCAGTGAATCACCGGCGATACCAGAACAGTATGGTGTCACCCAAAACAGGACAATTTTATTTGAATTTTATCAAATTTTGTCAAAGAGTTGCATTAATGACCTTTAAATCATTTACAGTTGAAGTTGTTAAAGTACAAGATGTCTGAAATTTATCATCATTCAATTTGGCCTGAAAAATAGCTACAAGAGACTCTGTATCAAGACTTCAACCTCCAGGACCATTCCATACTGTCGATGAATGTCCGTATTTTGGGAAAAAATTGCCATCGTACAAGTGACCCCCACCCTTCCGTAGACAACGTGAGGACACTATTAGACTGCTAGGCACAGCTGCTGCATATGGCTGCAATGACCGCGTGAACTCAGTAGGAAATTTGTCAACTCCTGGATACAGTAACAATAATGTTATGACTTTATTCCCTCCTCAAACTTGACGCAATCGTAACCACGGACATATAGGCATTATAATAAATATAGCGGATATACGGTCACGCTTTAAAATCTACAGGAACATCCAGGTTTCAACCATGTTCGAACTACGATAAATATTCGCTTCCTCTCTCCGTGCTACGAAAGCTTCAATTTGATTCAGCTGCTTCTGGTGACCCGTGGAAACTAGCTTGGAATCTTCATAAAATTATCGATGTTGTGGCACAAATCAGACTTCTTAAACTTGTCTGTACAGACAGCCGCGATCCTCCGACAACTCGCAAATTTATGAATATTGAGTTTGTAAATAAGGGAGCTATAAACATCAGCAATATTTTACATTAGAAGTCTGTTCAGGCAAATATTCCATTAATACTTTCAAAGTAGAAACACCCCAGTAATTTCGAATTCCCACAGTTACTCCAAGCCCATTGGAACCAAACTCTTCAACTACAAACAAACGCTGCAGCAACTGAATGTAGATGACCTTTGAACTAGTCCTCCGTCAGCTTGTCCTTATTCTATCTCTACTGTTTTATAACTATGGTCCAACTGGGCACATAGGAACTGGTTATTTAAGCATTATTCAACATGTTAAGATGTGAGAGCTTTTCAGCAATGGTCCTAAATATCGTGAAACCCAGTCCATTATTTGCAAAATGTTGATAACTATTCCAGAAAATGGACGAAACGAAAGCATATTGCGTTAGATTCACTACCTGAGTGGGTTAAGTCATTATTCGTTAAAGAATTTGCAGCTGGAAATCGAAGATGAAAATAATAACATGTCAGCATTCCTCGATCCTGATGTTCAATCCACACTTCAAGATTTACATGACAGGTATGGTATTGTTCCTGCAAATAAGGCGTCCTATAACTACCTGCAAACATAATTACATTTCCTGTATCTTACAAGAACTGGGCTTGCTTGATAGCGATGGTTACCCATCGGATACATTATGCAATATTTCAAAGGACAAAATACTAGCTAATCATGATTCGGTTTTAAAATCGTTTAGATTACTTATTAGTGGTAAGGATACGGACCTCCGTCGTTTAAACTGGATTCCGAAGCTTCACAAGAATTCACATAAACTACGCTATATAGCTGGACCGTCAAACTGTTCAACCAAGCCATTGTCTAAACTACTAAACACCATTCTAAGTACTATCAAATCTGGGTTACAGTCTTACTGTGATACTGTTAACTCAAGAAGTGGAATTAATAGTATGTGAATTTTGATGAACTCCAAAGAGATTTTGACCAATCTTCAACACCCTCTTCTAAAAGGCATTTCTTCTATAAGAACATTTGATTTTTTCCAGTCTGTACACCACCATACCCCATTCTAAAATGACTACCCACTCTTGTGAGGGATCGATGTATATGGTCAAACTATTTGTTGTTTTACCAAAAAGTAAAATTGAAGGACTTGGTGGGGTCTTTGTAGCTTGTTTTGGTAAGCTCCTCTTTAAAAGAAGTCAGCCAAGAGAAAGGCACAGATATGCCAATAATCAGCTGACAATTCTCGACAAAGATATTAACAACCAGACATTCGATTTTGTCATACATCTTTTTTTTCTATGGTTTGAACATGTTATACAAGATACGTTCTAGTACAGTAAACAAACATATATTTCTATGGCCGTTCAATATGTTTTAAAGAGAAAGCTCTCGTATCTAAGATGTTGTTCAAGATTGGAGAAAAAAAATGTCTGGGTTATTCATATCCATTTTTCCAGTATGCAGCTGCAATTACAAAGAATGGTAGCTAATAAAATTTTTTGGTTGAACAACTAGACGATCGAGCAATGAAATATGTATATAGATCTTCTTTATGGATGTTAGGAATACAGCATAAACGACCCTGTCTGTATCCTGATCCTTAATTGGCAATCCGAATGATCACAATACATATTAGTTTATATGTTTCGGAATGGATACTGTGTACGTCGATTTGACTTTGTTGAACAGGCTTACTTTTTGTATACAGAAAATGTAATCATACATGTTAACAAGAATTGTGTTAAACAATTCTATCATGTAAATTGTGAGTCAATATAATTTGTTTTCCTTTCAAATTTCAAGCTGTTGAAAATATTATCTTTATCGTTCACTGACGGCTGGTCTTACGTGAATAGCAGTCTTGGTTCATTGCTCATCGATGACGTCACCATCATTGAATAAAGACATACATATTTTTTTTTTTAGTTACAATTTACTTTAATAGCATAACGTCAAAACATTTAAATACTGTCACGTTACAAAATGAGAAATACGACAATTGTTACGTAAAACAAATATACTACACAAATAACAAATATAACTAAATTTTAGGAAATAGGTTCCGACTGTCCAGAGTACATATATTTTGTGTAAAGAAATATCCGTTTAACGTGTTTCCCACTTAAGAAGGGCTCATAATTACCATGGATGGTCGCTGCATGATGTTTCATGATCCCGTGTACAGATTTATATATTCAAATGTTTATTCATAGGTGCGAATTCGGTATCATAATATTGAAAATAAGCAAAACAAAAACAAAAATCGTAGGTTAAAGTTAAACTCAAATTGCACGGACGTATGTTGTTAATTCATTGCATCAATACCATCATATCATGTGTAGACACAACAGACATTTGCAACATTTGATAATCTACATACGGTAGGATGTTCAAAAAGACGATATTTTGTTTTAAAGTTCGTTATATAAATCTCATCTACCTGAAGGATAAGTCATACCTCGAAAATCGTTCAAACCTAACAGCAATAATAATAATTTAAAAGAACACATCAACAGTTCGAGTAACACAACACAAATATTACCGTTACTGCTATCAATGTTGAAATTCTCGTGGTTTACCAAATGCTTGAAGAAAATAACTATTTTTCATGTAAGTCTTGAAATAAATCTAGCTTTCTCTAATAATTTGAACTTTTGATGTAGCCATTTTTAGAAATGTCATTTCATCCGTGAAAAAAGAAAAATTAGAAGCCGTTGAAAATTATCAATTCTACAGTATCTAAAAAAACGAGATCGTCTGTTAACATGTCCTTACTATATTTACTAGAAACGCGCACCACATTGTTAAAAAAAAACTTGATCCCATATTGAAAACAATAACGGTAATGAAGAAGATATTAATTCAAGGACAGATTTATCAAACTGGCACAGAAAATCACACATTTCTTCACTGCGTGCTGCACCCGACGTCGTATTGTCGTATTGTCGTTTTGTCGTATTTTGTCGTACTGTCGTATTTTGTCGTACGATACAAAAACAGTTCACGGTTTCCATCAGTTTTATAACGTTACAAACATAATACATTATAAACACAATAAGATACAAACAAAAAGCACCACATATAAATTACAACAAATTACAAAACATTTATGTACAACTCTTTTATAAAATTGTAAATATTACGTTTTAAAGCATGGCGACTAACATCACGTGTAAACCATGGCCCTGTGTTCCCAACAATACAGCATTCATCAATCACTGTGTCATATCAGATCCTCTGTTCTGTGAACACTGATTGTTACGTCATACATTTAAACTATATATTTGAAATCCGTATGTCCTACGTCATATATTGCATTCCTGTTGTGTATTTACAGGCAAATACATGTTAATATAAATACATACAATCACCAGTTAGATACGTAAACAGATCTGTCAAATGTTTCTCGGTAAATTAGAAATAACAAACGGAAAACTTGTCAATGACAGCACCATTCCAGGAATAAATCTATCTTCATCATTACATAATAATATTAAATGATATGTACTTAGTTTCGCTTGCCTGCGAAGCCCATGACGACTCCGCTGAGGACACACAATATTGCGGCGGTGATGCTGATACCGAAGGACCATGACAAATCGTGGGTATAGACGCCGCGAGTGTACAGTCCGCCAATATTGTAAGGAAAAGCAGAAATAATGTCAGTTCCATTCACAATACTCACTCCGTAAATGATAGCACCAATTAGAACGAATACCCCTGAAATTAAACAAAATAGAGAAATTAGACACAGAGCTGAGCTGCAGACCTAACGCGTCGAATTTTAAAGATTTTCTTCAACAACTGCCTTCCGGTTTTTTTTTTTTTTTAATTATCTATCACAAATAATGTTTTCTTTACAAATATGTTCTCATTACAGGATGTACTCATTTGAGGTTTGATCGAAAGTACGACATATTGATGAATTCCAACATATCATATTTTGGACTTTTGTGTTCGTATATACTTTGTTATCTACATTTGTACTTAAAAACTGCAAAAAGGCGATTTTTATTATAGTTTGAAGAATTTCACTTGTGGACTACTTTTTTGACGGCGTAGTTAACGACGTGCTTCGGTCAATGACATCAACCATTTCAACGTTTTCTGGTTACTGACGTATTTATCTAGAACATAAATCTAAAAGTCCTGTTACACATATTCTGACGCCCGCACCTTAAAAAGTATTGCGCCAACATATAATCATTATCATTTTTAATTTGATTTTAATCTTTTCCCTTTAAAAATAATTCAAAAATTGTTTAATCATGTTTCTTTTACTTCTCCGAGGAGTACATCCTTAAAAGAATAAAAACAAAATTATTCCATTTACAAAGCGATGCAGAATAAACACTTCTAAGGTGAAATTCGATATAAGATTTCTAATCTGATCTTGAATTAATTCTAGTTTTGACCGGTTAATGTTCACACTTTTTCCTGCAAGGAATCCAAACCTTATTTTCAAAACATATCTCTTTTACATATTTTTGTTATGGTAGACGCATGACATTTAGATGATACATACGTGTATTATTTTAGATCGCACTACTTGAAAGAATCAATATATTAAATGTGATATGATATAGCTGAAAGAAGACGAATATTATGTACTGAGGAAGGAATTAACATCGTTTAATGATCAGATAATCAATACCAGTCAAGGTATTTGTACCGGTTATGATACCTGAAATAGGCCGGATGTTTGGTGTACATGTTAGAATGTCTGTACCGGTCGGGGGTGTCTGTACCGATAAGGGTATCTATACCTGTTTGGTGTACATGTAAGGGTGTCTTTACCGGTTAGGGTATCTATACTTGTTTGGTGTCCGTGTTAGAGTGTCTGTACCGATCAGGGTATCTATAACTGTTTGGTGTACATGTCAGGGTGTCTGTACCGGTCAGGGTATCTATACCTGTTTGGTGTACATGTCAGGGTGTCTGTACTGGTCAGGGTATATATATACCTGTTTGGTGTACATGTTAGAGTGTCTGTACCGATCAGGGTATCTATACCTGTTTGGTGTACATGTCAGGGTGTCTGTACTGGTCAGGGTATCTATACCTGTTTGGTGTACATGTTAGGGCGTCTGTAGCGGTCAGGGGTGTCTGTACCGGTAATGGTATCTATACCTGTTTGGTGTACATGTTAGGGTGTCTGTACCGGTCAGGGTATCTATACCTGTTTGATGTACATGTCAGGGTGTCTGTACCGGTCAGGGTATCTATAACTGTTTGGTGTACATGTTAGGGTGTCTGTACCGGTCAGGGGTGTCTGTACTGGTCAGGGTATCTATACCCGTTTGGTGAACATGTTAGGCTGTCTGTACCAGTCAGGGTATCTATACCTGTTTGATGTACATGTTAGGGTGTCGGTATAGGTCACGGTATCTATACCTGTTTGGTGTAAATGTAAGGGTGTCTGTACCGGTCAGGGTATCTATAACTGTTTGGTGTACATGTTAGGGTGTCTGTACCGGTCAGGGTATCTATACCTGTTTGGTGTACATGTCAGGGTGTCTGTACCGGTCAGGGTATCTATACCTGTTTGGTGTACATGTCAGGGTGTCTGTACCGGTCAGGGTATATATACCTGTTTGGTGTACATGTTAGGGTGTCTGTACCGGTCAGGGGTGTCTGTACCGGTCAGGGTATCTATTAACGCTCTCTGAAATCAATGTAACTTCAAGAGATGTATGCTCACTTTTATGTTCTGTCGAGAAACAAAAGCACTGTATTGAGCCTGTTCATTGCCTCTGTTATTTAATTGAATTATCTTGTAAACTGGCCATCACAGTAAAAATGATAAATACAATGGAAAGATCAATCACGTATATAAGCGAATGTATTCGCTTGAGATGTTATCCACATTAAAACTACCACTACGAACACACCTTTGTGACTGTCAATTGAACGAAGTATTTCTTTGTTTTCAGTACTTTCCAACCTAATAAACATGATTATATGGTCAGCGTTCAATGTTTGTCAAAAGAGTTGAGAATTCTGCAAAAGGTTGCTGCTCTCAAATGACCTGTTTTAAATCTCATTATTTGATTGATAAGAGCTGCTAAACGTCCAAGTTTTAGTATGAAAAGGGTAATGAAATTCGCCTCTCAAATCAAGCAAATGTAGCGTAACACTTTGTCTTCATGCATGCAGTTTTCAATAAGTGGTTGCCATATATGAAAGCATAGTTCGGCTTTGATAAATTGATACTTAGCTCTTCCGGAAAACTGAGTTGGCGATGAAAGTATTCCGTCGAATCTTAACGGATCAAAGTATAATCGATATTGTGACATTTCATAAAATATGCAAGAGCAGTAAAACTTGTATCTCTTTACTTTCAGCTTGAGATTTTTTGTTTAAGTGGTGATTCTCGAAGAGCCAAATCTACATGTTATAATTTGTTGATGACTAAGGAGAGAAGTAGCTCCAGAAAACATAAGTGCTGGCAAAAGCATTGTTCACAACATACTGAACCTGAATTGTATATCTAATACATTAACGCCAGATCTTACTTCAAATCGCGTCAAACATTTTATGTGCATAAAATGGACAAAAGACTCATGTAGTAATATAACACTATGAAGCAAGAGAAGACAGGTAGAACGAAATAAACCAAACCTCAATAAATCGTAAACAGGATCATTAAAGAAAATTGGAAAGCTTTATGACATATTTGCTGATAAATATCGATATTTTATGTGAATTGTGTGGTCCTGTCCGTGACTGAGACTAATCTATGTCCTCTAGATTCCTGACATAACAATCCGCCAACACATAAGTCTACAGGCATTTTATCTTATTCAATTATAAAAAAATGCATACAAAATGTCACAAGGAGTATGTCTTGTGCAGTTGTCATGGTGAACTGCAAACAATGGTAAACAGTTCTGCATGATAACGTGTCTTTAGCCAACATGTCTTCACATTCATTTGTGTACCATGTAATAAACGGTAGGGTGAAGGGAAGGGTGAATGCAGAATGCATACTTATTATGTACTGTTAATAAAATTCTTCGTGGCCTTTGAACCATCATTCAAAGACCAGTACGATCAGACATGTACATGGTTGAACATAGGGATAGGGTAGTTATATTGATGGCGAAGGACGTTGTAATTGGCGCATTCAATGCGATAGTGTTTCACTGATCCTGACAGACTTTTGCAATATAGATGTTCTCTAAGAGAGCTACGTTTAAGCGGGGTCAAGCATGATATATTTTTTCCGGTTAGTGTAGCAACAATGTAACATAAAAGAACCTTCAATTCATAAATATGTACGAGTTCAGCTTTAAGGAAGATATCGAATGATTTTCATTCCTATCAATATGCAAATCATTCCACAAGTTTATAGTTTGAGGAAAGAACAGAATTGGGAGATAATGAAGTTCTGGATTGTAGATTAACGATATTCTGAGACTGGCGCCTTTGTTCTATCAGGTTGTATATCTGCTGAACAGCTAGGTATCGATTTATGAAACATTGTTGGAAATTGAATTGCTCTATAATAGATTTAAGTCTTCTATTCGAAGCGGTGTAATTGCACTATATCTATAAAGAAATTCGTGGCGAGTGAATACATGGCACCATATAGTATTGTCTCAAGTTGGATACCTCTTCATTTCTTAGTATATTACGTTAGTGGTTGCGTTGTCCAATACAATCAACATGTTTGAACGAGGGACGCACAAGGCTTTTAATTTCTACTTTTTAAGAATATTAAAATTTGAGATTTAAGACTTCTTAATAATGTTATCAATGTAATCCTGTCTGCGAAACAGGATTGAAAGCCTTGCTTACGTCACTGAATATTGTCCTTATTTCTTTACCGGTATTAATGGCTGAAAGTGAAAGTGAAAATCCTCGATAATTTGCCTGTTGGTTTCGTTGTTGTAGTATCCCTTGTTCTCATTTTGAGAACGTGACATTAACGACTTAAATTTACTTGGCGGGTGTCGTCGATGAAGCAAAAGAAGCGTGCTCTTCCGGAACACATTGTCTCTTATTCTCCTTGCACTTTTTTAGAAGTCTCCGTGTAAATACTTTTTTCATATTTTGTCCTAGTTTTATTGAGTTTGGATTATGATTATATTGACATGTTTGTATTTCCTTGTGTTTTTGTTCATGTTTCGAGACATACGCAACAATTGGTTTACAGTTGAGTCACCTGCAACAGAAACTCAGTGGTGACTTGAAACAGTTTGAGTGGCAATAAGGAAATCACAATCATATCAACTTCCCATTTATACTAGGTGATATCGGAGGATATTTTTTATACTGTTGCGATCGAACTTTCTGTATATTGGCGTGCTATTTGCTCTTTGGCAGTTATCATGGGAAATACCGGTAATCACAGATTTGTTGAACAAAATTTTCAGGGGGAAAACACAGGATATTGGCAGCTTCTTTCAGGAGACAGAGAATTTACAAAAGAAATGGGCCAACAGCTTTACGGGTATCAATCTATGAAGGTATTCTTTTATATCATCTATCAGTATTAAAAAATTGAGTTTGCTAGTGTTGTCCATATACTGACGCCTTTCAAAACTGATAGCAGGCATTAATAATAAGTTGGAGTTGATATCTATAAGGAATTGGATATACTTTCCAGCATTCCCTTTGGTTATGAGCATTATAGAGTTTAAAAGAAAATTTGTAATAAAAGTTGGACGAGCACAATTGCCACATAAATTTCGGATAGATATGAATTAATTCAAAATCAAGGACAGTGTTTGAAGTATGAACGATATTGTACATGCGGTGGTGGGCGGGGTAAGAGGCACTTTGTCTAAATGTTATGTGCAGGGAATATCTTTACTGGCAGCAATAATGCATCATTCAATGTCTCGATGAAATCAGCTATATTGTGTTTGTCTAGAATTGGTGCCAAGCGTATTTTTTGCTGAACATATTATAATTACCACGATCAAAAAGCCATGTATGCCGTTGAAATGTAGATAATTATATTTGGAGGAAATTCAAGTAGTAATAAGTGGGACAGTTGTATAGGAAAAGTTGATCAAAAAGTTTTTTTTCCAACGATCAACCCTTTGCAAGTATCAATATTATTATTTTTTTTAAAAAAAACCTGATTTCTCATTGTACCATCTGCACAGCATTATAACTTTTAAAAGATCGGCCAAATAGTGGGAATTGGGATTTTGTTCGAGAATTCGTTGGTCTGGTAAAACCTCCCAATAGTAAGATATTACCAGACACGAAGCAAGGGAGTTCAAGATCCAGTCTCCGTTTAGGATTAATTTAGATAGAAACACTGTCTCCAAACCTTTTGGATCTACAGTGTTGGGAAGGACTTTGGAAACCGACTTTGGAAACATGGAAAATCTACCTGGTAGTTCAGGTAGTGTCTGTATTCATTCGTTGTTACAGCACAAACAAGAAGAGAGCAATGAAAAGTTTAAAATGTAACATTTCGAGGCTTTGGTGTTAAGATCGACATAAGAGAAGAAAGCTTTTATAAGGAAAGGAATTCCATCCGTAGAAAACATGGACAGAGCCGTTTAAAAATTGCACTGTTAATAATAATGGACCAGGCTAAAGCTCTCTTTCACTTGACAGTAATATCAAGATTATTTCATTTCAAACATGATTAGGACTCAGATTTTTTTCAGTCCCAAAATTAGAAGAGCACAATTAGGGATCCTACATATGAAATTTGATAAACATCCATGCAGTTACAAATGTTCTCACTCAAAATACCAAAATGGCGGCCAATCAGCATTTTTTTTAAACAATCCGAAAATCAAAAAGGCACAATTTTGGACCCAGGTGAAACATCACCTGAAATTGATTAAAGATCCATCCAGCACTCCTTAAAAAATGGCGATAACAAGAATTGTTTACGGAAATTTTAATGGTTCCATCTTCTGGCGATGGTGAGGAAAAACAACAACAACAAAAATATGAACCAAAGAAACAAAACTTCTGACAGTATACAGCGTTGGCCACTGAATCGGAACTGAATTTACCCAATAGCGGGTGTTATATAGTGTATGGCGATGCCGATTGTAGACAAGAATTGTGCGTAGCGTCCTTACGGTTTCGTCGATTTCAGAAAATTGAACTCAAGCTGAGCTGTCAATAAACAGACGGTCTTCTACTGACTAAGGATCCATTGTCATGGTACCTCGTGTGGCTACCCATAGCGTGTGAGAGTATACTAGTTAGAACTGGCACTACGTAATAGCTTACGGGACAATTGCAAGGGTAATTAGAATATCAAAACTGAAGTGTTGAAGTAATTTGTGTAAATTCAATATCGACTCGTGGATACTCTTATAATTATTATTAGTCGTACATATACAATTAAGTCAATATTGCACGATGTTTCAGGCTTGGAAACGGCGTATCGATACTTACCAGCCACGAGGGCTGTGACGACAGACGACACTTTGTAAGTTGTGGTCCATTTTCCGGAGGGAGCAAATGTATACAGTCCCATGAGTACCAGTGCTGTTGTACCTAACAACATGCCGAGAACATCCATAGCTCGTACACCGTCTAACCAGGCTACAACAGAAATGTGGAATCAGAACTCATGAGACATGTTAGTACGTCAACATAAGCAAAAAGTATAGTTATCATACAGGTAAACAAAAGGTATGGTACCATACACGTAAAGGTTATTTGTTTACCATGCATAAATAAAACACATAACCCAATATCACCCGTTACCCTATATACACATACACCCATGTGAAACACCCGTTATCCTATTTACAATTACACTCATGTGAAACACATGTTATCCTATATACACGTACACCCACGTGAAACACCCGTTACCCTATATACACATACACCCATGTGAAACACCCGTTATCCTACATACACGTACACCCATGTGAAACACCCGTTACCCTATATACACATACACCCATGTGAAACACCCGTTATCCTATTTACAATTACACTCATGTGAAACACATGTTATCCTATATACACGTACACCCACGTGAAACACCCGTTACCCTATATACACATACACCCATGTGAAACACCCGTTATCCTACATACACGTACACTCATGTGAAACATCCGTTATCCTATATACATGTACAACCATGTGAAACACCCGTTATCCTATATACATGTACACCCATGTGAAACATCCGTTATCCTATATACATGTACACCCATGTGAAACATCCGTTATCCTATATACATGTACAACCATGTGAAACACCCGTTACCCTATATACATGTACACTCATGTGAAACACTCGTTACCCTATATATATTTATACAGTAAAATGTTGCTTTACAGTGAAAATTGTTGTAAGTACAGAAATGAATATCTCTGACATATATTGTTTGTTGGATGCGTATTACTGGAATAGATATATGACCAATGAAGTAATAACGACAGTACTGACAAGTGCATTGTTAAATTTTCGTGGCAATCTGACCCTTTATCAAGACACAAATATCACATCAAATTACATCACATACATAGAACATAAAACAAATACAAAGCTATAAATTAAAATCGAGAATATTAGTGTAAATTTAGGTGTCTCGATAATCCCTTCGGCCGATGGACGCCGAAGGCCCATCATAAGGGACAAAAACCACCTCAAGCTATGTAATGAAAGACAGTGATTCAAATATCAAAAATTATTCATATAAATCTCGGAACGTAGTGTACTGTAGCCACTGAGCGTATGTGATCGTAGGGAGAAAATCGTGTTATACTCCGAGGAAAGGAGTTTACTAGTACATCTCGGCCCCAATCTAATTTTTTTCAATTTCTAAAAAGCATCGTCCCCGTTTGTCGTGGACAAAGTAAATTACAACAGAGACATATATAACACATGATATATACGCCTCTGATTACAGTGAAACAGAGCAGTATAGATATTTATTCAATGATTCATCGTTGTTACACATACATGCAGTCAGAATACTTCATGATAAAGCGTATCAGAAATCAGGCACGTATATTCGAATTTCAATACAGCACGTGAGGGGAGAGAGGGGGAGGTAAGGGGGAGGGGGAGAGTGGGAGAGGGAAGGGGGGATAGGCGGGGCGGATAGAGGATGGTACGAAAGCTTTACTAGCTAGAGGGCTACGTACATTTACATTTTTAAAAGTCTGTATGTGTTTACATAATAGGAATGTACATCACATGGTATGCAGTATAATTAGACTAATGAAATACTTCATTCTGTATACTATAATGTACAGTACCTGGTGGATTGATGAAATCGCTGGAACACGACACTGCTGTCAAAATGTATTTACACCCCACCCAGAGTCCATAGTGCCCAACCCTGCCGAAGGTAGCCTCGTATGTGAAATGCCAGTAAGGTGTGGCCAGGGCGATGATGTGGAGGATACCGCCGATTATCAACAGGACGATGGCAATCAGGGCCAGCGCCGAGAACTTCTTAAAGGAGGCCATTTTATGTGTGTGCGTGTGTGTCCTCTAGAGGTAGTTACTAGTATCTAGTTCAACTCTGTTACACTTGAGACATCGGTCTAAGAGATGAGACACAGGTGTGAATCAGAGGACACATTTACCTGTGTAGTCACTCACGCGTGTCTATTTCAAAACTATCCGGCAGATGCCTCGGGGTTTACCTTCTGACGTGACTGATATTATTTGGGAACATCCGCCCTTTACCTCTCGGACCTGTACGTAAAACACATAACAAACCTGTTTCAAAGATAACCGGACACTCCTTCGTGACCCGCGGGCGGGTTTAAACGTCAGTTATTGTACAGGTATGACAAAGGTCTTTAAGTGCCTGTTATAAATACCTTCGTTGATACGCATACATCCTACCCTTTCATTCAAAAATATACAAAGGAAATGCAGCTGAAATCCTGAAAAAACTACTGACTGTCGACCTGTACTGTCACCTACAACAATCTTTCAGGGATGTTAAACTGAAAGTTAATTTTCTGTTTTATTCCTATTTTTTAAACTAGAATTACATTCACGAGGATTTAACAATAAATTACCTTTGTAACGGTATACGTCTTCATAAGAAAATATGTTTCCATTTTTTGGGAGAGACCCGGACATCGTAGACATTTGTATATCGTGTCCTGTAAAGTTTGGGGACATTTTGAGGCAGGACTGGGTCTCTTTGCATTAGCTGATGACTAGCTACCTGAACAACATACAAGAGTTCCGTCGCAATAAAGTGACTTATCAACTACACAACTGCGACAGCACACTGTGGTCCGTGAACAATATCAGCTTCATGAGAAGAACAAACTGCACTGGGTAGGGATTAAACAAGAGGTGATATATCTAAAAATGTATGTAGGAGTTTCCCGAAGCATCCGCTGGTTTCCCTTTCCTATTTCAGTTTGTTTCATCTTCCAAGCATCGACAAGAGCTAAATCCAATCAAAGGGCCATTGAAATTCCATGAAAATATTTTTATTTTAAATTTTGGACGATATCACGCTAGCTAAGTGTATAGACAACAACCATGTGTTAGATTGTAACGCCATGTCCAATCGGAACACCTCGGCTGATTCAGATGGGGTCGTCTAACCTCGAATGTATGACCGAAGTTGATCAGACAGTATGGGACTGTACACGCTCGCACGCTAAAGATCCCTCTGTGGCTTTAATTTTCGAAAAAAGAGCAGATGTGAAAACGCCGGTTCAGGGGTAAAGGGATAGTGTTAGGCCATACCGTTTTTAAGGCATTCGACGGACTTAAAAAAATTACCCTCACCTAAACCAATTCTATGTATGCCTCTAATTCTTCCTTTCCACTTAACCTGGACATGTTTCAGACAATTAGAGTTAGGATAAGGTATTATTAGGCCCCGGACCTGTCTTCTAAAACTAGTAAAAACACACACCGCAGCAGACGGGTCCGCCCCTGTGAGGAGGATGCAGGTCGCTTCCTTAAATCTCCAGACACTGAGGTTCGTCGGTCTGACGATACCAGGAGGAGTCGCGGAGACGGATAACCTGTCTAAAAACCACCCAACCAACAACAAATGGCTGTAATTTCCATATATGGAAACTACTTTCAAGATGGTAACTCGCACCGGCGAAGTCCATCTTTCTATATATAAGTATCCGTGATTGCAATGCTTTAGATAAACTGAACAAATTGTGTGGTATCTAATTGTTCATTCTGTATTGAATTAAGAAGTCAATTTTAATACTGAACAGAGAAATAAAACTTTAAATATAAGGGAACTGTATTCAGCTGAAAATGGCAACATCCGTCAAATCGCTAACATCCGTGAAGACGTGTGTTTCAAGAGGTGTCTTCTTTGTAACAGCGACACACGCACGGAAGCTACGTGTTACACAAACCAAATAATGGAAATTGAAGGACATGACTGAAGGTCGCTTAGGTGTTAAACTGGGGTTTTAGGGGTTCCGGTAAGAAAATTCCTTCGCTAAGTTAAAAAAATCATCGCTTTACATTAGATGTGATTGAATCATTAAATGTTAATCATTGTTTCTGTTCATACTGACAATGACCTCCATTTATATACAGTATAGGAATATACAGTATAGTCTTAATGTGAAAGGTGTTAGTTGTCTTACTGAAAACTCCATTATATGCCAATTTGAAAAAAAAATGATGTGTGTTATTTGAAGTCAAATTAATTTTGTTTTATTTGTTAAACATTAACATGGTTTAAACAGAAAAACAACTTTTTTAATGTATGTAGGGATCAAGATCTAGATACATTTGTAGGTCACTGATCTGAATAAAGATAAAGTTATAGACAGTTTTTTTATTTGCTGTTTAAAACGTACAAGATATTTGAACTTTATTTCAACATGCTGACTGTAAGATCTTAGCTTGATTAAGATTGAAAATAAGTTATTTTCTTTATTTTGAATCTTTGTTTATTGGGATGCAATATTTACTGATATTTTGAATTTTTTATATGGGTATTTCACCGGAATAATTTACACAATATGTATATTTAAGAGAGATCTAAAAGATCTAAGAGATATCTATTAATAGCATTACATTTGTAGCCTAAATAAAGTGTGTTAAGATTTGAGGAAATTCTTACATAAATTTGAATGCGTATATGCCGTTTGATCAATACAAGTAATGGAACACCCACAATGAACAAAAGAACATACCATTATATCTGATTCAGACATGTAATATTATACTTGAAAACATGTATAAAAATGTTTGATTGAATCAATTTAAATACAAGTTCTATATCAGTCTTAATCTAAACTGAAGTTCGCAGTAATCGATGTCAAGAACTATAAGCTCTATAAAGGCTGTCACTAATGACGAACCGATCATGAGTCATATGATTGTAAAATGTCCGTTAAAAGTCAATCCTGTGCCAATATTTAGATACGCATGTCACAGTCAGGAAAACGCTTGCTGTCAAGGTGATCAAAGTAAGTGATTCTCCAGAGAGGAAGATTCTGTATCATTGGTGGAAACCAACCACTCCTTAAGTTATTCCAATATGTTTTAAAATGCCATCCTTGATTGAGAATTAGAAGATCACAAACTCGTGTTAGCGTGGGAGTCTGCTTCTCCAATGAAACACATTAATTTTTGAGTCTAAAACATAAGCAATGAACTGTCTTAGTAAGATTTTTAAAAAAACATATATGCACTGTTTAATATTCCTATATCATTGCACTACCAGTATAACTAATTATCTCTCTCTTCCTTTCCATTAGGACACAGACACATAAATTCACATCACCGCTTTCTATTTCACTTTATAACTGCGTTGTTGTTTTATGTTCTATATGTGTGATGTAATTATGTAATATTTGTGTCTTGATAAAGGAACAGATTGTCTCGAAAATTTGTCAATTCGCTTGTCCGCACTGTCGTTATTACTTCATTGATTATATATATATATATGTGTGTGTGTGTGTGTGTGTGTGTGTGTGTGTGTGTGTGTGTGTGTGTGTGTGTGTGTGAGTCGAGAGATAAAAAAAATAACGTTTGTCATCTCATTTGTTCAATGGAGGTGGCAAAATCATAACCATTCACCTTAATAGATGTTGTATTCAATATAAAAATAATATTTAAACAAAATTGCAAATACATTATCTCTCTCTCTCTCTTTTTTTTTACACAGTTCTAAAAACCATTATATGCATCTACAAGAAATTGTGATGTAGAGGTACAGCACCGAAGTTGTATCCGATATTGACTTAGCCTAAGTATCTGAGACTAACAAATTGATAATTGCGACAGATCTGAATATTTTTATTGGGCCACATCGGTGATAAGATATAAACAATTATTAGAAATGTATTATTAGAATATTAGAAAACACGTGGCAACATAAATATTACTGTAAGTTGCAATGCCTATTTTGCTTTCCGCATATTTGCTGTAGAATTATTCGGTAGTCAGGATGACACGGTACAGTATATACTTACATCTCAGTTGTTTTGGAAACTCACGATATGCGATAAAAAAAAGTCCGTTTAAAACGTAGATGCCTGTTTTAAATACTACGTAATGCGGTCGTTTCCGGCGAAGAAGTACACCGATTTAATGGATATTCATCCGCTTCATACACCTGGCAAGTGGTTAGTGAAAATTAAAATTGCTTCTATTGAACAAACACGAGCATTAAAGGCAAAAGTAACATTAAATATATACCAATCTGACCTGTCCCAACAAATCTACATCTGTGCATTTATCAATTGTATTCCCAATTTTGTATAAATTCATGTTTGAAAATGTTCACTAGCCACTGGCTATCTCTAACCATACTTCGCACAACAAAGGTCTGGTAATTATTCTCCGATTTCCATTTTGTGTTCTGCTCTGTTCCTGTAGTGAATCTATGATAAATTTGATGTCTTGATACCCTCCTAATTGTTTACAAAGCAATCTTCAGTCGCAAGTATTCTGAATCCGATGAATGTTTTGACCAGGTATTCTTGCAGTTAGATGTTTCGTCAAAATCAAGCTGTGAGACAGGTTTCCCTTCAATTGCAAGTTAGATCACATTTGTTCGTTCATACCCGCTCTTCAACTCCGTGACACACATTAACACTATAGATTAAACTATTACAATAACCATCAAGATTGTTGATAGGTTTGACTGTGTTGATCAGAAGAACAAATGAAACACACACCAGGGCCATTCGACGTGGGTTCTAGTCATTTTAATGATAACTCTAACGAAACTGGTTCCAATGTTTTTGGTAACCCACAAGATCACCTCGGAACTAGTAAGACCAACATCTCCAGATCATCATCATCTCAACATCAATAGGTCAGGACTACCATTTCAGGTAAAACCATATCTGGACTAACATCTCATGATTGCCTTTTTCAAGTACAAATTGTTAAATTTCTTTCATTTGTCTGAGACATGTTCACTTGGCACTGTGAGAAACCCACTTCAGAACAAAAAAAAAAAAAAAAAAAAAGAAACATCAAGAAAATACTAACATGGCAAC